CAGAAGAACAAGTTACGATACAAACTTTATGGTCTCGATTAAGAGATAGGGCATTATTTGATGGTAGTGCCACGTCTTTAAGGCGGTTGCTTAGAGATCTTGGATTTAAGTGGCTTAAGGACAATCCGCGACGAGGGCTCATGGAACTACCAAGTATAGCTTTGAAAAGGGTGGAATTTCTAAGGCAATACAATCAAGCCAAGGTTGAGGCCTTATACCAGTTTGTCTTCCTCGATGAAACTTGGATACTTCAAAATGGGACCAAATGGAAACCAAAAAAGCGTGAAAGCTATTAAAACAGATGGTAAAAGGTATGTACTTTTACACAATTTGCACTATAAAATTTAAAACTAATATGTTTTAGATACATTATATTACATGCTGGAAATGAAAATGGGTTTATTGAGGGTAGTGAAGCGATATTTTCTTCGAAAACAAAATTGAGCGATTACCATGGAGAGATGAACCAGGAAAATTTTTTGAAATGGTTTCAACATCAGTTATTAGAAAAATTGGAGAGTCCATCTATGATTATACTGGATAACGCCCCTTATCACAGCATGATATTGAACAAAGTGCCCAACAATGCGTGGACAAAAAAAAATGTCCAAGACTGGTTGACAAATCAAAACATACCATTTTTAAACACAATGTTTAAAACAGAGCTATTGAGTATTGTTGCTCGGTACATAATGCTTCTTAATTATATATATTTTGGTCGACAGTTTATATTTCTTTTGTTTATTCCTATTCTTAAAATAACTGCTTTTTTAGAAACAAACCACCTAAAATATACGTGATTGATGAATTGGCGGAACAACATGGGCACAAAGTTCTTCGTCTGCCTCCTTACCATTGTATATTTAACCCTATTGAGTTAATTTGGGGCATAGCAAAAGGTTACTATAACAGACATATTGGTAGAGATGGTAACAGTGAAAAAGACTGTTTGGATATGTGGAACGAGGCTCTACAAACGGTTACCCCAGACATGTGGAAAAATAGTGTTCGACATACTGAGCAAGAAATTTTTAAATGGTATGAAAGAGAACGAATTTTTGATCGACCAGACATCGAACCTTTAATAATCAACTTTGAGAGTGATGAAGATTCAGATTCAGACAGCGCTGAAGAAAGAAACTCCGACTAACTTTATTGTACAGAAAAAGCTTACACCAGTAGCTTACCTAATTTTAGAATGCATTTTTCTGTATGAATTCTGTAAAATAAATACCATGCATAAAATTTGGAGGACCCCATCTGGATTTTTATTCAGTACCTTTAAGCTATCAATTAAATATGGTAGTTTCATAGTGTCATCTGATCAATAATTGTCATACTTAATGATTATGCAAGTACAGATCTATAATTTTATTATACTATTATTTTTGTTCTCATTTGAGGTTAATATTGCTTATAAACCTAGATATGTAAATAATAAATTTTATTATTTTACAAAAAGTTTGGCAACAATGTAAATTTTTCAACACACCCACCTTGATGACGTGTACGCCACTTTGTTTGGCGTTGACTATATTGTAGTAGTCATTATCGCTATAGGTCAGCCTGGTCATTGATCCTTGATCCTGTAGAACAAGCAAACCACTACGATTTTGATGAACTTTTGACATACAGACGCAAAAGCTTTGTAGGTTTTTCTAGTTCGACTCAGTTGAAGCAAATCTACGGAAAGCAAAGGGAAAAAAATGCCCAAATAAGGCTTCTGAGTGTGACGAGCTGTAAATCTCTGCTATCAGTCACAGACGCTATACTATCACAAAGATTCTGATCCCGCACGGGTATTATATAGAAAACCTATAAAACGTAAAAAATAACTATAAGATTTCCTCTTGCAGACTAAGTAGTTTCTAGGGTGCAAACAGTCATTCCTCGTTTGCTGACTAGGACCGTTTTGAGCATCCATCTATTGAGGAATCGCTCAACTTATCTGATTGAATAGCAAGATCTCATCTGGATGATTGTGTGCATCGGTGTATATGTGTAAAACCAGTGGTACTTGATGTGTGAGAAAATCAACACTGAATGAAGTATATCTATTAGCTGTACCAGACGGGTCAATTATATTTATGTCCTTTCAGAAGACAAAGTTATCAATTACGACTTCTTAGGTTTTTTTTGTTTTCAAAAACTTTATGGAGAATTACTAGAAAACAACAACGAGCCCGCGTTGTGTGTAGTTAATATTGGCATGTATAGTATATGACTTGTAATTCGACAGTGTACAGTGAATATAGCCACTCCTTATCTCTCTTATATTTGAAATTCAGCAAATTAGCACATGTAATTTCCAGAATGGATAAGAACAAGTGGGATGCGCAACTAATTTCTAGCTTCGAATCTCAAGTATATTTGAGACAAAATTCCATCGGAATCATCACCAACACATATTATTAGCACACAAACCCTCACCCCAGTACTCCAGTAATGCCATCTCTGAAGCAGATTTTACATCACATCATAGCCAAACATTGATAGCTGAAGCATCATGACGTTTAGGCAACACGTACAGCTACAACACGAGTTTACAAAACTGTCCATCAGCGAGGGCTAAGTTAACATCTAGTCGAAAAACATACAAAATTTAAAAAAAAAAACAGTATTTTGTCAAAAAAATCGATATAACGTCACTTTTCAAGGTACGTAATACCCGTGCCGGTAATGCCACACGTCTGATAAGTATCATAGACATATTATAAGTTATATTCAAACGCTGGTAAGTTGGAATCACGCCTATTCATCGCTACACGTCTCGAGCTTCGACTTCTGTGCGACTACTCGATAATATCAGTAAACTGACTCGCCTTGGCGGAAAAGTACGCGCACACCCGCATGCAAACCATGTTCTCGGCGCAAGCATAGGCATCGGGCACGCGTTTTACAACGGAATTGAGTACTAGGTTAGTATCGACAAATGTTTACTGAATCTCAACTATCCTCTCCTAGGTGCCAAGAAAAAGATGTTGTAGATGTTGCATTTGTAGCATTAGTGAATGGCATTCTATTATTAAGAAGTCTCTGAATCCAGCCATATTATGCACCTCTTAGGTGTAATAAATATTCACAGATACTGTCCATACATTTGCCATTAAAGCACAGCTTAATTATGTTGCTAGATTTGGATATAAACTGAACATAATCTAATTGATGGCATAATCGTGTGGAAACCACAGAGCTAACCTATTTCATGCCAGTTTTTCATTGACAGTCAACCTAGTGCAGCAGCAAATGTTGACATATATTTCATTTGCTATTGTTTAGTCGATGTTGGCTCTTGAATCACAAATAGTAAGCATTGAAAAACCCTTGTCTTTCTGCGTGCATAACTAAGAAGTAACAGAAGTTAAGTAAATCCTATGCATCAGAAATGGTAATATGAAAGATTCTACACCCAACAAACAAAAAACCCACAGAAGTAAGCTTGTGTGTATGTAACAAACCTGCTTATTTTGCACATGTACATGTATACCCTTGTGAACTAGGTACAGTCATGTTCTTGGTGTAATACCTCAAAGTGCCTTCGAGACCTAGTTTCCACTGCATCAAACTTAGAGGAATTTCGCGAAAGGAAAACCCAATTAGAATTATTATGGTGCATTTCCTGCGAACTTCGTTACACATAAGTCAACTGTATCAGGAAATGAAAGCAGCATGTAGAGTCGACACTCTGCTTCGCACTTGTTTGATTTAACATCTGCACTTTAGAGGAACGCCATGATTATAGAGCCGAAGGAAGCTTGATTTTCTGTGCTCCGCCATGACGATTCGGCTTCGTGAGTTTAACTCTCAACTGGTGCTCGTAGGGATAACTTCTATATAAAATAGTTTAATGGGCGACTTCGTAAGCCTATTTCTAGGTTAGAAGAAACTGAATTTCGAACGTACAAACGTGGCTATGGGATGACTTCAGAGTTTACCAAATAACTTTTGTTTTCATAAGATTATGAATTATTGTTTTTGGGAGACTTCTCACCATGGCCATCCACAGGTGGAAGTCAGGCAGGCCGAGCTTAAAAGTTGCATGTTCAGTATAGTTTTGTGCACAATATTTAAGATTTTTAATTTGATACCCTTCGCTTGATGGATTTCCTTTTAACATTCAAATCGTTTCATATTGCCTCTTAGGAACGAGATAATCTGAGAAAAATGAGAAATATCAAAAATAGGCGTTCTGTAGATTATAGATTCTACACAGTTGAAAAAGTTTTGCGAATTTTTAAAACTGGCATTCTGAAGCAAAATAAACCGGAGAACATTGCTTCACTTACACGTATTCCTTATACAATTTTTCTGAGGTCAAATACCCCTGTTTCACGCTACCACCACTAGTTAACTTTTCAATAAATTCAACTGGTACATAGTTTTGTTGATGCTGGTCATCTAAGCGGGATCTGGTCCAACAGTTGGTAATCAGACTATAGATTTCAGGGTTAAATAATACAAATACTCCGTCGTTAAGAGGTTTAATAAAAATTATTTAAATAAATTAAACTTTACCTAATAGTAAAATACATATGATAATTAGTACAGATTCGAGTGATACCTGTGAGTTAGTTAAGGTACACCCACATTTGGATGATGAGAAATAGGATAAGAACTAGCGCAAAGCGATGTTCCCCTTGATTATGCAGAGTAATTGATAGCAAATAGGAGTACATCCTTGAAAACAAAGAAGTGTTACAACAGAGTACTCCGATTTAAAGCATTAATTTGTGTTGAGCCTTTAGGCGTTTGTCAGCAGTAGCTCCATCTAAAGCGCATTTTCAGACCAGTGCAAACATATTCCTAGATGTTTGGGTGAGCATTATTTTTCTTCGTATCTTGGGTGTACACTGGTGAACTGGTATAGTTTTTCAGAAAAAATGTTAAATCATCAGAAATTGTAGAACAACTTATTTGATAGTACATACATCTCTGCAAAATTAACAAACAGCTGCAGGAATTTACCCAAGTAAGTCAAAAAACTGTCTACTCTCCTGTTGAGAATATTTCGTTCAACGGTACACAAGTATATGTACATGCAAGCAGGAAATGGATTTATCAACAAACAGTTAAAAAACTTCGTCAGCTTATAGAAGTTCCCTTCGAGCATTCTGACTAGATTGCAACGTCCGTTTACTCAGTCTAGATGATTCCATTATCTTCTTTCTTTGAGAATCTGGTAATAGTCAATAGAGTCGGCCGCTTTCTGCTTTCCCCCCGTCTCCTGGACGCAGGTCTTGAGGCCGAGCTGTTACTGGTTGGAGCATCAACTGTGGAGTAAGAAAGTGCAGACCCAGATCCTGTGGGATCGAAGCTTTTACCGTAACCACTATGACTGTAACCTAGAAGAAATCGATACCAAACTAATTAGGTTTCGATAGCTGGCATATATCACCCCTCACCCATTAGCATTTTAATAGCCATACTCAATGGAGGACTTATGAGTAAATATACTGCGAGGGAAGAGCCTACTACATATAGTGACAAATCCTACGTAGACTTGAGAGCATCTTTGCTATGAACGATGCATTCTGGTAAGACAAAGATACTAAAAGAGAGTTTAACTTCTGTCACATCTAAAACTATCTACATTGGTACTTCCCTCTGATAATCGAGCTTTCCGACTAAGGCTGCTTTCGTAGTAAGAAATCGTCTGTGACTATGAAATTATGCAATACAGTGCGTTCCAAAAAGTTGCCATATATTTTCACACGGATGAACCTTGCAAGCTAAAATTCGGGGTGATGCAATTGGTGCATGAACAGTAAAAAACTTCAAATGGGGACTGATTACTTTGGTTGATAGAAGTTCAATGTACATAAATGCTGAAGTTTGACAGCCTGACAGCCGATTATTTAGCAATTATATATTCTACTGTTAAAAAGTACCCGTAAAGAGCTTTAAAAGTATCACGTGATCCATTTTGTCCACAGATATACTACAAGATAGTGCACATTCGCTGTTTTGAAACATTTAACTGTCTCTCCTACACTGGAGGATAATATTCAAACCTCAGGCTGCTAACTTGACCGGTTTTTAAATAAGAGGGAGAGGGGTGTGGCTTTTGTGATACGCATTGTACAACATAAAATAAAATGCCGATAGTATATTTTCTGTGCTTGCCTTGCGTTGTTAGAGACATATACAAGCAAAATGCCCGAAACAGATGATAGAGGATACCTGCTTCAAAATAGCGTAAGTCTTCCTTTAATGATCAGAGGGAACTTAAATAGGATGATCCTGAGTAGATATACAGTGCAATGTATCTTCGATATTAGTATCTTTCATTGAGTCAAGTGACACATACCTGAAGGCGGGTATTCGTAAGCTGGTATAGGAGCGGAACCGTGGTGTTCCACTTCGATATAGCCTGGTTCCTCGTGATGCTCATGCTTGAAGATCTTCGCGATCAGTAGCAAGGCTGAAACCAACAAGGCCGTCTTTGCCACTATAAGCGACTTCAAGACTAACATCTTGATACCTGCTATCAGGTAGGTTGCGATTACTGTCTTCATTAGACCTATGAAATAGCCTACGTTCATTTTGCCTCCACCTCCACCACCTTTTTTACTTCTAGCTGAAATAAAAAAGAGAACGGTCCGACATCATTGGCGAATACTCTTATCTACAGAGGTTCTTCCTTATGATAGCTGATATTTCTTTCTTACGCCTAAAAGGGAGGAATACTGCCAAAGCGTTAAAAAAGTTGCGTATCTTCTGAAAATGCACAGATTATTTATTCCTAAAAACTCAAGTGTTTTTCTCAACGATCCAGCTATCCAATTTAATTTAAAAAGTCAGAATGTTTCTCAATATATTGAGTGGTGAAGCTCATTCTATCATTCACCAATAAACTGTAAGAGAAATTAATATTATCTCCAAACCTCCTTTTTCAGTGCGAAAGAAATCGTATTGTCGTATCTACTGTATAAAATTGTCTTTGACTCTGTAGTTTTGACACTATTGTATTTAGAATATGTAAAATAACTCCATAAGCGTGAAATGATAGATATCTCAGCTCCGCCCCTGACCCTCTTACAGATGCTTATTTGACAGCCAAACAATTGATCTCAGTAAGCTATCTTATACCCGTCTTACACCAACAATTTCTTCACGAATTTATTCTAATGGACTTCTTCAAGGCCATCCTTATTATGTTTTGCGGTGTTTACATCAGCAAAAGTAGCCAGTGCTGCCAACCACACAACAGATTCTTGATAGAAACATTTTGATTTGTATTGTGGTTTCGATTTTGAGGCGAAATCATAAACAAAAACTATATTGTTATATACTGTAGCTCTAACAAAGTGTTCTATGCTTATATTGAAATGTTTTAGCACCATGGAATTTGACATCCAGCTCGGTAAAAATTAGAACAAGTTCTAACTGGTTGAAGAAATCCATGAAGAACTTGACAGAATATTAAATTTATATGTCAAAGTGCTTTGACATCATGTGCTTCTCGGTTCATATCTGGCAAGGATTCCACTGGAAATGGATCATGTTGAGCCGTAGTTCGAAATAAAATGTAATCCATCAAACGCTGGTGTCGCCATTTCAAGTGTTGTAGAAGCCAATGAGGCAGAGGGTCGCCTGGAACGCCATGGAATAGTGGACTATCGACTGACCAAAACGTTAGAGAAGTGCATGATATCAACAAAGAAAATTTATGTTACGTCAAGGGAAGACATAGCGTCCACAAAACATCTGAAGGCGTTAAACGAATGATGAATTGTTCTTAACTTAGGGTAAATGCGGTGTTGTCAGATTCCAGATTCCTTTTTGGGTGAACTCACTACCATTTGTAGCGAAGAATTAAGTAATTGGGTTCAGTCTTATTTTGGGTTGGAGGTAGGGACATTCATTATCCATGTACAGCCTACGAAATATATGTTTCGTTCAATGTGTAGGCTATACGGCACGCAGTATTTATGCAGGTGTATCGATCAGGGCAGTCACAGAAGTTAGCCAGCATCCTAATAATTCTTCACGTTAGGCATTGGATCCCATAGTAAATATAATTAATTCTTAAAGGATTAATTAGTTATTAGATGTGTCAAAATTTATCGAATAATATGCATCATATTTTCGAAACTGGAAGTAGGGGAATATGCAACAATAAGACGACTATCATAGTTCTGTAATTTAGGTTTTTCGGGCTGTTGAGCCGTGGTCGGGTTGGATTTGGTCCAGAGCTTTCGGCTACACCTGCGGTAGCCATCTTCAGTGGCGCTGTCGTCGAGAGCTGTTTTACAGTTTCTGTCGATCCGCCAAGCCGAGCATTTCGCTCTCGCCGACAGCGCCACTGAAGATGGTTACCGCAGATGTAGCCGAAAGCTCTGGACCAAATCCAACCCGACCACAGCTCAACAGCCCGAAAATCCTGAATTACATTAGAATTAGTCGTGAAAGCCTTCATTCTTCAATTATCATAGTTATTTCCATAGTGTTTGGCGGGTCACGGTAAAACAGTGAAACCACAGGAATTACTTACATGTATCCATCTTCCTCACATATATACTAAGTGACATATAAATCCGAATACCCAGTTTAAACGGTTTTATTTTAATAAAATTTTGTATAAGTACTTAATGAAGCATAATAAGTAAATGATAAAAATTTCAAAATGATTGCACTGCTTTAAAGCCCTTTGACCTTTAATAACGTGTGGATGCACCTTGGTGTGCTACGCATTCTCCAACGCGCCTAGGCATGCTTCTGATCAGGTGGTCAATGTCCTCCTGTGGTATCTCATTCCAGGCAACCACCAGCTCCTCTCGAAGTGCTTCTAGAGTCTGAGGAGGACGTTGCAAATTGAGCAGTCTCCTACCCATCATATCCCACACGTGCTCAATTGGGGATAAGTCGGGAGATCTTGGTGGCCATGGTAACAGTGTGACATCATTATGTTGAAAGAAGTCTATTGTGACTCTTGCAACATATGGTCGGGCATTATCTTGTTGGAAAGTTGGATCTGCCAGGGTGTCAAGATAGGGTAAAAGATGGGGTTCTAGAACTTCGTGGATATAACGCTGCGCATTCACGTTACCTCTGATGAAGATTAAGGGTGACCTGGAACCATAAGCTATAGCACCCCAAACCATAACTCCAACAGTGTGACGAACATGCCTTTCAACAAAAACTGTGGATTCCTCCTTTCACCACGTCGCCTTCTAACCCTGGCACGACCATCGTGCATGCCTAAACAAAATCGAGACTCGTCACTAAAGACAATACTGTTCCATTCCTGATCCCAGAGTGACCGTTGTCTGCACCACTCAAGGCGATTACGTCGGTGTTCTCGAGTTAAAGGGAGGACCCAGTGTGGCCGGTATGAAAACAAGCCAAAACTTCTCATTCGTCGGTAAACAGTTCGTATGCGAATAGGTCTTCCGTGTTCTGCAAACCATTCATTTGCAATGGACCTGGTAGTGGAGAAACGGTCCCTTAAGGCCAATAATCTTAGGCGGCGATCTTCACGGTCTGTTGTTCTACTGCGGCGTCCAGTGTCCCTTGCTCTTTGCGTACGGCCTTCTCGAAGCCATGCCTGACAACACCTAACCACAGTGTCTACACTTCTTTGCACTCTAACTGCAATTGCCCGAAAAGAAAGTCCAGCTTCCGGAAGTCCCACTATACGGCCCCTATCAAACTCACTAAGTTGACGAAATCGTACAGGTCTCCGTACTCTAGGCATCGTAACCGATCGTAAAGGATGTCAAGAACCAAAATCCGCCAACGTTGATTCTTTACTGCGGCTGAAATATTCATTTTTAGAGCGTTAGTGAATTAAAAAAAAGCAGTATGAAAACCGGAATGTCCAACTGATAAGGCTGAAAATTTTTTCACTTGTTATTTACAGCAAGATAAATACATTCACCAACTTTTATTAAAATAAAACCATTTAAACTGGGTGTTCGGATTTATATGTCACTTAGTATACATTTTCAATAGACCTCTATGCAGGGACGTTTGTTTGTGTGAAATCACAGACATACGTTTATACTTCCTACGCCAACTGGCGTATGGTGCAGATTAGAGTCGTTCCGTCATACTAGGTGAGTACTGGAGTTTTGTTAGTTGTATACTTCCAAGTCTCTAACTTCTCCAACAACTCTCACAGTTCAGTAATTGAAATCCCGAAACTTCCGCATTTCCCTGGCACAAACAAGCTCATCTAGCTTCAAAATTAACGTCATTTTTCCGTACCTCAACTCCCGCAGTTTTTTTTTCGTTTCATTAAATTTATATCACTTGTGGTTCATTAAGTATCCACAAACTCTCCCCTGCAGCGTTCCCGAAATCAAATTTTTCACGTTCCAACTCCCGGTGTTGCACTTTTTCGATATGCGAGTCGCAAACTAGAACAGCCCTAGGATGTGAACAAAGCAGATCAGTCGAATCATTAACTACTCGCATCCTGGAGAGCAATTTCCACCTTTTGATAGAAGTGATTACACAACTCTGTAATGGGTGATGACCCTAAGGTCAATCTCTCCACGTGCAAAGATGCACGACTCCCTACTTCAACTCCCGTGTCTGGGGAACCTATCCCCACTTAGACATTGCAACTCCCGAGCAGGTATAATAGCTTGCCCCATTATCTCCTCAATTTCATCACCCTTCAGGTCGTACACCTTTCAGTGAGACTTCCAACGGCAGCTGTAGGTATTGAAAGCCAATCCGCCAGCTCCATCAACCCGGAGGATCGTTTATCGCATTTACTCGCGGTGCAATACAGACCACTGGGTGCATTGTTCAGCTTCCGCAGATGAGGATATCACACATCACAACGGAACAGACCAGGCCGGCCGACCAAGGACTGTTCCTGTGGTCGGCAGTTCATTGTCATCGGAGGCCTACAATATCGTCACAGAAGATGCTCCCAGGCCTTCCCGAAAATTTCCAGAGGGGGTCCCAGATATGACGGATTGGCATAAGTGTAGCTTTTGGTACCGAAAATCCAATCATGCCCTGGCACGAGGCTGCACACCAAGAAAGCCCACCCTCTCGAGTACAACAAGCACTTCTGCTTCCATACCAGATGTTCTTCTTGCAAGATATGATGGCGGCAACATGTCTAACCAAATACCAAATCCGTTACCGTAGGGATGAGCCCATTTATAAGGAGTCACTTTACCCTATCCAAAGAAGAGGCTCGCAGCCGACAAGACGCTGTTCATGACTTACTGACGTATCCTGAAGACGCCTTAGGGTGCTTACTGCAAGAGTGACTACAGGAGTTTTACGCACCTATTTGACATATTTAACACATCTACACATCATATGCTTTCCCGTAGATTTCCTGCAGCTACCTGCGATCAGTGCTAGTCGTAATGGTCCTCTTGATCGTTCCGCTCACACTGCAGCGGTGATTCGGTGGGCGCTGCAGCATCTATTCATATGGGAAGGAGCACGGTGACTGCCGGTAGGGCAGGGAAAGAATGCCTGTAGACTACTTGTATAGGACTGTTTGACTGGCTTGATCAGTCTATCTTCCTTATTGTACATGATTGCAACTGATCTTTTCTCAGAGAGTTTAACTTATGCTGAACTCAATCCATAATGGATAAAAGG